TTTCCAAGTAATCAGTCCCTTGATATCATTGAATTTAAAAATAGGAAATTGGTTGATAGCTGCTATAGTTTCCGAGAATAGTTTGTGATGCTTTATTTGACTTATGTATTTATGATGATTCAAACATATTTCTGTTGAGTGAGTAAGTTTTTTAAAAGATTGTGATTATAATAGCAGATTGAAAAGTAATTCGTAAATATTCACGTTTACGTTTTCATGTCAATAATTCTTTTTAAATCAATGAAAAATCAAATATAAAGATTGCAACTAAAACTATATTTAATTAATTTTATTTTTAAACAACTATTTTATCATTGCAAGTTTATTTTAATCGAATTATTTTGATTTTGTCAAATTAAACTAAATGCACCTTTTATGTATTAAATATTTTATTATTTATCAGGATATAAAATATTTAATATATAAATTTATTAAACGAAACGAATACCTAGATTTTAGGCATTCATGAAGTTGCATTTTTCAGATTATCGAATTTTAGAGATATGGCAGTAAAATTCCGACGTTTCAGCTGTAAAAAAGTGAACGCTGTGATTCTTTTCTTCAGGCTAAACTTAAAATTGAAGGTCCAATTATTTAATTGACTGATCACATGCACAATTGTATCTGGTAGTGACAATTACATCTGGATCTTTAGTTTTAAGCTTATGTATTCTAAGAAAAGTGATCTGCAAGGTTTATGAAACATTAGAATTTCAGTGCATTTCCGAACATATTAAATTATAAGGATTAATGTTTGATATTATGTTATATTATTAACAAATCCTTTATGAATATTTTTATAAAAATTACATTTTCTTATACGAAATTATCTAAGATATCTATATTTGTTAAATAATTTGTGTCTTTCATATAAGTCAATGCTATTATGTAATACTCAATAGTTTATGTAGTTCCTCCTTTTTTGTGTTTCAAGATTATAGCACTTATGCATATGATGATATCTTAATTTTGTTAATCAATAAACGGCACTGACTTAAATAATAGATAATGTGTTAAAATTATGCGATTTTATAATTCTAAAATATATGTTTTTAATTCAGGAACGCAAATATTTTGGCTCCATGTTATTGCTGCAACATGTCGAATCAGTTTAATCCAATGCCGTCCACTTCACGTTAATGTACCCACTGGAATGGAAATAATTATGCATAAAATGTTAGTAGGTAAATATTATTATTTGGTAGTAAAATATTTCGATGATTCTGTATTATTTTTAAATTTAGATTTAACACAACGATTAATTATAAATTTGATAACATAGAAAAAAATTGCAGAATAAGTCGACCATCGACACACCATTTAATACACCAGAATTATATTTTATATTATTTTTAAAAATATAATTGTTTAAATTTTTATAATTAAACAATTTTTATAATTAATCAATATAATCCGCAGTTTCATGGCAATAACTGAATATTCTTGGAATTTTTATTTATTTACAACTAAATATTTTTATATCACAGCGGAACCTATTTCTATTTTTAAAAGAGTTTAATATAGTCTCATGTTACTAGAATAGAAAATGGTTTTATAAATAATTTATCAAAGAAGTCTAATTAAACGAGTCTAATTATTTCTATAATTTAATAATATTCAGTTACACAAAAGAATGTTTTCTGACAAGTATTATGTTCCACATAGATTTGTTTATGCTAACAAAACAAATAATAAAAATATTATCTTATGGTGCGATAGAATGAAATGATAATTGAATCGGAAAGAAATATATATGTTTAATGAAAATATATTAACTTGCGAGCACCGATAAGTTAAATTCTCAATGAAGAAATTCCATTGAAATGGCAATGAGTGTTCAAAACGCCGTAAATAAATACAGAACTTTTTTACGTGCATAAAAATATATCTTGAAAGGAATGTATTTATAAAAATAACCACAAATGTATTACATATTAAAAGGAAAAAATGCAATTTGACTAGAATGGAATTCTGGATCAGTGCAAAATCCTCCAAGTAATATATCATGTATGAAGAACTTACATTTCTTCCTACATTATATTTATTCTTTTAGTGTGATTGTATTTTGTTTGAAAGCACAATGAAGCAGTGTTTCTTAATCTGTGGTCCGCGGAAACTGCTAAGAAACTGCGAACACCCTTCTTCATAGACAATGAATCTGATAGAAAATAGACTTAGGTATGTTTGATTATTATTTGAAATAAATAACAAGTTGAACAATTTGTTATTCTTATTTTAAAAGTAACAGAGGAAAGGTAACTTTACACCTAACGTGAAATTCAAATAGATTATATATTTCTAAATAATAATAATTTCTTGTTTGAATTAATTCGATCATTCAAAGAAAAGAGATAATTCGACACAAGATTATTTAATATCTCTATCTGTACAAGATTACAACTATTACTTACTGAAACTTAATTGAAAATAACAATTTAAAATACAAAATAATAAAATAAAAGTTTAACGTATGATATTAGCGTGTATTGTTCGATTTTATAATTTTTGAAATATTTTACTCGAATAATGACCCATGACCTAGAGAAAGCACCTAGGGATCCGTGTCAAACAAAAGATCTGTGGTAAGCGAAAGATTATGAAATGCTGCAGTAGAGTATATGTGCGTGTTTGTTTTAAGTAAAATTTTGAAAAAGCTCGGGAACTCGTCTCTCGAATATTGTAATACAATTGCAATCCCTTGCGCTAGATCATTATTTATGAAGTATGTGCATATATTTTTATATTGTTAATGTTTAATAAATTTAAATAATAGTCTTTAATTAAAAGAATCTTTTCCTATTGATGTAATAATTAACCACATTTATTCGTCATGAAATATTAATGGAAAATATTCATATAGTTGAAAGATATATATTATAGATATTGGAAGAAAAGTGTCAAGGGATTGATAATATAAAAAAGATGCTCTAGACCAACATACGTTCGGTGTATCAGAGTCTCTTCTCGTCTCAAGATGCTCTAACGACCGAACTATCATTTTTAGAGTTCTCAAAACGAAACACCAATGATTCTATTATCTATCACTTATTAAAGTACAAAGCGAGACCATGTTATTGTTTTCCCCGAAGTACATAAAGGGGGGACATTAGTATTAGTAAAAACAAAGTGATTGGTAACGATGTAAATGTCGATTTTTCTGTCAAATAACAACTACAAACATAGAAAATACATACATTTAATATGCGTATAATAGATTGATTGTAGCAATAGAATATAAATTCGGTATAGCGCTATAAATTCGATAATGCGTTTGTACATATTATATAAATATGTTATACGTTATGTTTCGTAAGTTATCAAACAATAACTAATAGAAAATTCAATGAAAAATATCACGCGGTATACGTTTGAGAATTATTTTATTTTAATATTATTTGAATCGCGTAAAGCTTTGGTTTTTTAAAAAACACGAATTTGAAAGTGCCGAATTTTCTTTTAGTAATTGACGTAAAGCTTGCAGAATACTAGAGTATTTCATACGGTATATATACTGCATTTGAAGAATAATAATTTAAATGAGACTGATAGATTGTCATGTTTTCATACGACTATTGATTTTTCATTCTCTAGGAACCAACGAAGGGTATTTATCTAACGAATCTAGATAGTTGTAATACTATTATTTTCTTTTATGTTGCCCGCCAGATAATATTTCTATTTCGATCTAAATTTAGTATAATCAAAATTGAGATATTGTTTGTTAATTTCATATATTGTAAATTTGCAATGAAAGTGACACAACTTCAAAAAGTATGTTTTACAAAAGAAATGAAAAATAGAATTAGATATTATTTTATTAATCAAAGAGACGATGCAATTCAAAAAAATAAACTTTTCGTCTTATAAACAATATACAAAATTCATAATAAAATAGGTTTATAAGATACAGTGTAATATATAAATTTTATCAAAAATTTACTTACCAAATCATGAAGATAAATGAATAAGATTTTCGTAACTGATAATTCGAAAATTACTAATTTGAATTGTCCCATTTTTTTTCGCAAATATGTGCAATATGTTAGAAAATATAAATTTTCAAAAGTCGATATGAATTTTATTAATGTTTAATATTTTTTTACATGATTGTACGCCAAATATGTAAAAACCATTTTAAATCAAAGTAATTTTTAGAAAATACTACAAATTTAATATTAGAATATTATTTATATCTAATATTACAATAATATCTATTTCTAAGAATCGTTAATTAAAAATTAACATTCAATAATCCATTGAAAACAGTAACGATTGGTTTATTTATTAAAAAGTAAAAGTTACATGATGTCTTAATATATGTATATATCTTATGAAATATTCTATATATATATATATAAATACACTATATAAATATTTGTATAGCACGTGCATATTTTGGATATTTATAATTTTATGAAAACGAAATTGTTTTAAAATTGTCAAATAAGAGAAATATATTTGTTATTATTAGGAGAACTGTTCTATAGATTCTACGAGAACTGTTCTATATATCTACGTACGTATGTACGTATACTTGCGTCTTAATTTAAAATGTACAATCTTCTAAATGCTTGTACTTAGATATTTTGGGCGCGTCTTAAATCGAACTGTGCTATGAACAAAGCGTCAGTAATCTAGTTAAATGTTTAAGTGTTATATCTACTTCGTGCAGTAATCGTGACTATAAAAAAAAAAAACAAGAATTCTTGGACAGAAATAAAATAATTCTTAATGGTTTCACATTATCAACGTTGGAATTATTGAATTCCTTGTCAAAGTTGAGAAAAACAAACCATATGATGTTGAAAGAATATATGTAATTTACAACAGATATTCTAGATAAATATACTCTCTTAATGTTTTTGAATTTCTTTTTCCTTCGATCTTATTTCACTTTCCTTTATTTCTATCAATATATACAATAATATTATATATGGTATAAACTTAAATATATTTTATTTAATAATTTGAACATTTAAACGTGTTAAAATTATTCTTTTTATATTTGCCGCTTTCAAAATGTATTTTTTATAATAATATGTATACATTATAATTAATATATATGTTATTAATATTGTATCAGAAAGTTTTTAATTTACAGAATTAAATATTATGTTAAATATACTTAATTGTAAACTTGTTTTCATTGCATATATATCACATATGCTTTCTAATTTCATTTAATTCAAATTTTTTTAAATCCACCTGTATTATTTAGTAGAATTCGCATTAATACAATTTATATTAAAATAAATATCATTTTATTTTCGTGAATAATAATATATTTGCATGTGTTTTAAGTTTTCCTATATAAATTTAGTAATTACATAGTATCTGCATAAATAAAACTGAAAGAAATAAATTCTAATGTATTTATTCTATTAACTTTACATCTTTTCTTGCTGATAAATTAGAAGTGAATATCTACTGTACTATGTTTAAATTGATATCAAATAAAATTGCTTACAATGTTTTAAAATAATTAATAGTACTGAATAATTAAATAACATTAATAATTAAAAAAAACAATTGACGTTAAATTGATAGAGTTTTTCTAAGTTCATTTCTCTTGATGAAATAAAAATATAATTATTATATCTTTAATTATATCTTACTTAAAATTGTAGTATATAAAATTATATAATTAGTAAAATTGACCTGTCTTCGTACGCTATATCAAATCACATATCATAATTCAATAATGCATAAAATTTAATATAAATTTTAATTTAGTTTTTAAGTTTATATTTAGTTATATCTAGTTTTTAGTTTTAAGTTTTAAATTCAGAATTTCAATACTATATTACAAATATATAGACTTAGAAAAGTATGGATTCAGAAAATGTGCAACGCTAATTTATATAATTATTAAATAAATCATAATATAATTTCTGTCTGTTATATTCAGAGAAAAATTTTTTCATATGAAAAATTAAAGAAATATATTCTTGTTTTAAAATAATTTATTCATCAAAATACCTTCATATTTTATGAAACTTTCTTTCAATTTAATTTAACAGCTTATAAACATTGTCTTTATAAAAATCTTGACACTTCTTTTAGATTATTTTCATTATTAAACTTGTTTCTCATGCCGCGTTTTAACGAACTGCAATTAGATTGTACAGAAGTTGTTTGGACCAGCGAAAACTGTTCTACGCGGTTCGATAAGCGGTACATCAAAGAATCTGTTTGCAACTCAAAGCGAATGTGGACATATTGAAAGCCTTATTTTATAACACGCAAGCCAAAACGATACAACGAACTGCCTATGAGCACCAAGCGAACAAGGCTAAAATTAACACTATTAACGAGCTACTCGCGAATTGCTTACTAATAGCAGAGTGGATGCAATTTTAGTGGGCAGCTTTTTGATCCAACTTAATAATTATCGAAACTCAGGAATAAGTGAAAATATGTTGATAAGAGATCTGATATGGGGTATAGGGAACATAATCTGGCTCATTCGAGTTCTATTATCTTGTCATCTTTGCCACATAAAATCGCAATTTGCCGCATTAACCTAAAAAAATAAAACTTGCCTTCTGTTTACCAATGCTGGCTGTTTTTTCCGTAATTTTTTCTAAAATCTTTCTGATTACAATAGTTAGCAGTAGTATGATACAAATGAAATGTTGATTAAATAAACTGAAATCCGTTACAGTGTTTTCAAATAGTATATACAGTGTTTCAAATAGTATATTCCAGATTCCGAAATACGAAATTAGTATCTAATCTATTCCACTTTAAATTATGTATTTATTCATGTATCAGAAAAAGCTCCATCCGTGTTTTACGAATTTATCGATAGATTTTTTGCACGTACAATATTGAAATTTTAAATTTTAAATTATAAAAGAAACAGTGCAGATTATTCTTTCGTAGTGATGGGAGGAAATTTCAAGATCAGTTATTTTTTTTTTTTAGATGGAAACTTTTTTTAGATTTTTATATTTCTTGGACTAACAGGATACTAATAAGTCCTTTATCCTTGTTAATTAAGGATAGATATGGGATTTGGCGTTCTGAAATATCTTAATTAATAATAAAGATATTTACTATTTATTACATCATCAATGATAATTTCTTCTAGTAGCTTGAAATCCTGATCAGTATATCGAAATTTATTCATATATAATAATTCATAATGGAATACTCAAGCACCGACAAGGTATGTGAATAGACCAAACATCTTACGGACTTTCGTGGCCCGTGACTTGAAATATCGACATACTAAAAAAATTAATAGTTTTGTGGTACACTGTATGTTTAAACAACGGTGAATTGGGGAATTACATCAAGTAAAACGATCGAGGTTG